AATATCAGTATGGATTTGGATGACAACAAAATAATTGAATACAACGTAACTGACTAAATAATAAAGCCAGGGTGGTAACAAAACCTTTCAATTGCCACTAAAATCTTGTTTGTTCAGATTCATTTATTTTGATGAATCAAAAGCGTGAATGAATCTATTTACGTGATATTTTTTTAAGTATATCTTTATAATCTTTTGTTTTCATATATTTTTAACTTCATTAAACGTGCACTTACAATATTAATTATAATATTAAATAAAGCAACCACGCAAAATAGAGTTTGTTGACTCCTTTTAAGATTGCGAAATAGTTGTGTTCAAGAAAATTATTTAAAACAACTATAAATCTGCTTACATTTCATAAATATTTCACAATACACCGTGTGAATTGCGAATACTTTATTTTTATTACTAACATAAACTTATTTTATGCATACATATAATTTATTATAGGCATATTCTATTACTTTTGTAGTAATCATTTTAAATATCTAATATACAATGAAATACATAATTTATTACTGTTCATATTTCTTTCTAATTTTATTGGTTAATTGTTATGATAGATAACAATATTATTTATTCTATTTTCTTAAATAGAATAAATAATATTAAAAAATATAAAAAATGTAATTATATGATATATCTCTACTAAAAATGAGTGATACATAAGCTATAAAAATATTGAGACCCTGGAAAGGACATAGGATAATTTTTATCTCGGAAATCGTCCTTTAAGGAGGTGAAAATGGGATGAAGTTTGTATTAGGAAGTAAGCTAGGGACGAACCCGAGCGAAGCGAGGGTGAGTCACTAGTAATATTATAAAATAACATTTTGAATTTTGAAGTTTTTTGAATATAAAAAGTAACCTATGTGATATTCTGATTTCTGATGTATGAGCTATATTATTGTAAAGTTTCATTAAAATACATTCAGTAGTTTTTGAGTAAAAGAGCAATCAAACGAACATCCATACTATATATCCAGACATCCATACATCCTCATAAACTTTCGCATTTATAATATTCGTAGGACTAGGAGGGTAATGGGTTCATATAGGTGAAGTAATATTGTTACGTGGTGTAAGGATTATTTTACGAAGGTATTTTATAAAAGTGTAGTGATTTTTTGATTTTGTTCTTAAAAAAACACTAATTGATCAAAGCTAAGCTACGAAATGATAACTATAAAATTTTAAGCAACAAATTGCATTGTTACCTGGTGGAGAATGTATAAGTGACAGGCGGCTGAGCGAGTTTTATTGTGTCCTAGACAAGACTACAATCAATCTAGTTAACAAATTATAATATTGCAAACGTCTTATAGTAAATATCTGACGCGTACGATACGAATGAGAAGTTAATTTTAGATTTTATTTAGTTTAAACGATGTTTGTATGTTTAGATGGATGTTTGTTACTCAATCACGCCATAATGGCTAAACGGATCTGGATGAAATTTGGCACAGAGATAGATTGTAGTCTGGAATAGCATATATGCTACTTTTTATCCCGGGAAAATGTACGGTTCCCGTGGGATAGATGTGTTTTTGTTTAATGTTTTGCGTAATAAATAATTCCCCTACCGTCTATTAATATTATAGAAATTCGTCGTTAAGATATTTAATGTATGTTAAGTGTTACCCAATCATATAGATATCAATCGAACATCGTTAAAATGATTTATGGCTTATGTCCTTGATTACAATACTTTGTATCTCGATAATGAGTTCTCGTGTTAAATAGTTATTTATTGTACATTTAAAAAAAAAACGTTTTTAAGAACATGTTCTGTATCACATTTTTGTTTACTTCTTGAATATCGATGCCTAATCGCATGCGCCAATTGTGATAAAATTTGGCCTACATGGTAGAGCACAGACTAGAAAAGAAGTACCTATGTAGACTTTTTTCTAATAATGCAGTTATCGTGACGCTACGTGTTTTTTGGGATATTTTAACTATTTATTTTACTCCTTGTACAAAATAAATTAAAATGTTCAGAGACTATAAGCAATCAAAAAGCAGGATAGTCCCGTTAGTAAATTATTTTTAAGTTTATACTCGTATATGTACCTACTTTTGGTTTGGGAGCGTTTCGAAAACTATTTATATTAACTTAAAACTAAATTAAGAAAAAAATAAAACTAAATGTGAGACATGTAGCCGATTTGAGGCTCCTTTAATGTTTAAATACATACTCGGCCGGCGGGTGCCGGGTGGGTCGACCAGACGCTGAGTTTGCGCCTCTCTTATTCTAAGTAAATCTTAATCTAGAGCAGATGGACGAGGTGTAACCATAACTACCTATAAATATCCTTTGGGTCTATAAACATTAAGATTGTAATAATTACTCATTGTAGTTATTTCATGGTTTCATAGTGCCTATTAACACTTTATTCACGGCCAAGGCCGACCAGTGACGCGGTTGAGTAGATGTTTTGGCTCCACATCACCTGTACCTACTTTTTTAATAAAACTAATTTTGTGGCTTGCTTTTGTTAGCGATTTTGCAATAATTTACGTATTTATCATAAATATTAAAATATGTATTGACAAAGTATATGAATAATGTTCATTTCCTACATTGTTAGTTTATACTTATCTAGCGACTCACCCTTACTTCGCTCGGTTTTGTCTTGATACCCTTACCCCCTACAAATTTTCACCCCCTTAATGGATGACTTCCGGAATAAAAAGTATCCTATGTCCTTTCAAGGGTCTTAAATCATCTTTTTGCCAAATTTCATCTAAATCGGTTCAGTAGATCCAGAGATTACCACCTATATGGAAACAAATTTATAAACTTTACCTCTATATAATATTAGTATAGAAGTATAGATTATAAATTAATCAACATCGTATAAATAATCGTTCAATGTTACAAAGATTATTTCATATAAATCGTTTTCGCATATCAGCATGAAACTGAGAGCCAAATAATTATTATCGATAATAATTAATCAGCAATTAGTTAAAAAATAAAAATAGGTACCTACTTACTTCAATTATTTATTTTAAGGACAGCAAAAAATTATTTCTATATTAAGACTTAAACGGAAACCCGCTTCTTGAGCTATATAGAATCTTTCACTTTTAACTGAGGAGTCGAGACATACCTTATTTATGATTAATAATAATAATAAGATAGAATAATATACTGACTGAATATCCTAGCGAATCCGACTCGTGCCAACTTGATCAGTTTTTGTTCAGTAATATAATCACACCACTATGAACATTAACATATCGTTTTTACGATAACGTAAAAAAAACGATCTTAAAAACACGTTTAATGTATGGATATGATAGCTATTAGCTAGCCACTAGTTAAATGTTTTTTGCCTAATTAATTCTATGCATGAAATTAAGATTATAAATTATAATACAATGACTTACACGATTTGAACCTTTGTATCTTATTTTGTTGTAATGTACTACCACAGATCATATAATAAAAACTACTTACTACATAAAGCATATCTATCACTAGCTACTCACCCTCGCTTGAGTCCTTTTCAAGATCTACAACTTTTTAGTACATTGTTTTGATGTATGTATTAAGGTTTAGCCAGCGAAAGGTTTCGAAGGAGGACTCGATAAAACCACTTATTGTGATTTCCCGTGGAAAAGAAAGATTTTCCTGAAGTAAAAGGTATCCTAAATGTTGACCAAAGTAATAAGTTATCGCTACACAAAATTTAGTTAAAATCGGTTCATTACTTTTTACGTGAAACACGCACACACAAATAAACAAACATTTTAATAACTATTGTTTTGGGATCTATATTGTATACATAATGCGTTAGTCATTGTTTTTAAAAAATATTTCATGTATAGATTTCACTAAGTTACTGTTTTATTATACTACATATAGATTATTGCATAAAAATAGTTTAAAAAGAATATTATTGTCATGGAATAATTCATGAGTGTAGAAGATTATAGGAGTTGACAATAGAGAGCCTGTTGGCCGACTGTCAGAGTGTCAACTGCTGTTTCTTTGACTTTTGTTAATTATATCCATTAGTCTAATAATAATTCTAACGGTAATCCAAATATTTTAATCGATTGTTGTAGCTTTCTTCATATCTCATATAGTTATATTTTATGCTCCTAATTAAAATAATATGTTTCAACCAGATGGACAAGTGCTTTTGAATCATCAATTTTACATTTTAAGTAAATACGTTGGAACTTCGTAACGAAGCTACCATCAGCCTGATTCTGCTGAGAACGGCCTACGAAAAACTCAGCCATTTTAAAAACAATATTTTCATTTATAATATTAAATAAAATCTTGCATGAATACTGATTATTATAAACTAGAATTTATACTAGACATTTATATACTCGTATATCATAGTATACTTGGCGGAATCATATTCTGTTCTTAATAGCAATTATAATATTTTGACCGACAAGAATAATTTTTGCTAATGATTAATGAATATTTATCCATAATGGGTTAAATTATGAAAAATGCTGAAATACATTCTTAATTAATTGTATCGGAGAGCTTTTATGCCAGATAAATTGACCAAAAGTTTTCCATGTAGACTGCATTCTTTTTACCCTTTAGGAGTTGAAATTCAAGAAAATTATCCACAGTTTGCTGATAAGTAAAACATTTTTTTCGGAAGACGAGAAAACATGATCAGTCTCTTCCGGGAACATATTTGCTCTAAAGTATTCAAAACATCGGGTACCAAAAATCAAAATAAAACCTTAAAAAAATCCAATAATATAATTTTATTTAAAAAAATATTCACCAAAATCTAAGGAAATATCACCCTAGCTTATGTAGGTAATTAAAAGTAAATACGTAGCATTTTCCTTCGGTAAGTAGCAAACGTAAGAGTAACAAACGTACATCCATAACCCTATATCCCCACAAACTTCCGCGTTTTTAATATTTATAGATTTTTATTTGTATAGGTGTACCTATTTTATATGTATATAAAATACATAGGTTTTTAATATATACACGAATATTGCAGATGTGTGTACGCATGTGGCTGGAAGTGGGGCACGTGTGCGAACCACGGCAGTCGGTGACGGGGCGCGCACTGGCGCTGGACTGGCGCGTGTGGGTGCGCGGCGTTCGTGGTGACATTAGCGCGTTTGTACAGAAGGTGGTCTTCAAACTACACCCGCCCTCCGCTTTTGTTTATCCTAAGCGAGGTAATTGTAATAAATTAATGATTTTATAGTTACTTAAATACTACCGACTTAAACGAACGAAGCGAGTGTGCGTTCCTACACTCACTGAAAATCGATCTATGGAAACATAAATAGGCACATTATATATTACTCGTATGGATACTTTGAAATGTTCTATGTTCTGTGGCTTATAAACTTGCCATTTGGACACAGTTTACTTCGCCTGTGTCGTGTACAATGGTAGAAAAAATTCATTTGTAACACTTACAAATAGAATAATACACTATTTTATTATAACATTTAACACGCTACAATATAATACCTAATATTTACTAGTAAATTTAATCTAACTTTATACATTCATAAGGAAATAATATTACGGTACCTATATTAAACATTCATATTATTATACATAGATATTAAGTCGGTACATAATAATATGACGTGTATCTATTGGTTGGTATAGTAACGAAAATCGATACACTGCAATCTACATATATAATAAATTACTTAAAATGTATTTGTCTTTCACTTTTATATTTATAATTTACGAGCAGAACCTGTGACTTCGCTCGCGCTAAAATTACAAGAAAAATCTCTAAAATTGTAGGTTTCATACAAACTTTCATCAGCTATTTTACCCCCTTATGGGATGAATTTCGAAAAATGCTTAAACTTGTTAATTGTTTTATAGAGCATTAATACCTACCAAATTTCAAGTAATTCTGATTATAATTTTTTTTAGGATTGTATAATAACGTGTTTTCTCGTGGGAAAGAGATAATCGCCCGCGGTAAAAAGTAGCCTATGTCACTCTCCAGCCCTCCAACTAAGTATCTCCACACAAAAAATCACGCCAATCCGCCAAGCCGTTTCGACGTGAAAGAAAGACAAACAAACAAACACTCTTTCACATTCATAATATTAGTATGGATTTTATATGTACCGCTTAGAGTACATGTTTAATATTAGTTTTTTTTTCTTTTTGTGGTTTCGTCGTTTTCCACTTAAAATTTTGCTAGATAGATATTATCTATCCTCTCTGGTTTCTTTTGTAATAAAAACACGTAATTTTTGTATTTATAATGAAAATGTTCAAAATTTTTAAACGATAGGGCACCATGTTTTTATAGCTATGTATATAATATACATATGCATAAGTAATATACATTTATATTTCTACGAAGGTAATGATATAATGAATGCCTTCATAAAAAATCGCGAATACTCCAAGAATACTTGAATACATCGTTTGTTACATTCTAATTTAAATAGGTAGCTCATTTTCCAAGACGAATTGATATTAATTATTAAGTATGTTTACAATTCTGTTATAGTTGACCTTGCTATGCACGACAGCTGCGATGGACTTGTTGACGTTCTTCAAACTTATTAACAAACACGTAAATTATATTTTTAATGAAAGATTATTTTTTTTTTTTTAATAATTCTAGCGACTCACCCTCGCTTCGATCGGGTTCGTCCCTATGTAGGTTATGTACATGTACGTTAATTATTTTGAGCGGAACCCTAATTTTTTCTCTCAATTAAAAGTAGCCTATGTTACTCCCTATAACATCAGCTATATCCAGTGAAAGTCCCATCAAAATCAGTCCAGCTGTTTCAGAGATTATCCGGAACAAATAGACAGACTGACAAAAAATTTAAAAAATGTGTTTTTCTTATAAGTACCGTATATAATTTCATATACAATTAGGAAAATGCTGTTATTTTGACGTTACAAACAAACACTTCAATTTTTTTTATGATTAAATAATATATCAAAATTTAAATTAATCAAGATTTGTTAAAATAGAATTTATTAATACAGTCATATCACCTACCATTTCTTTCACACACTTACTCTTTCACCACAAGGTTACCTGGAAGATATGGTTTTTAGCTATAAGGCCGCCTGCTGTACATCTTTTTTTAGTGTATTATTTTTCGTTGTTTGTTTTGTTCTAATACCTATGGTGTACAATAAAGAGTATCTATCTATGTCTTTTTTACTATCATTTTCTTCCCTTGTTTGCAGTTTGACATCTATGTTTATAGATGCTAAAAATGTTAAAGTGTTAAATAAAACACTCATTATCGTTATCACGCGTGATAGGCAGCCACCAAGCTCTGAGTAAATATCGCAATACTCCGCACAATCTCACAGTAACTGACTTATATTCACTTTTATCATTCCCAGTGCGCCAAGAGCCGCCGTATGAAATCCAAGAGTCCGGTTGCGCGTCCATTGACATACCTATCCAAGTGTACCTGAAATTTCCAAGCAAGCCAAAGAAAATTTGTCTCAGATACAACCTATATATCGAGAACAATAACAAGGCGACGTCAGATTCACGCTGCGTTTATTACGACTTTGAAAATCCATCGGAGACATTGTGCAGTGCTTTAATGAAGGGTGGCGGTGAGGTCATCGCTCACACCATCAAAAACGAAACAAACAAACTAGTCGTGTTCCTTGAAAATAAGCCGAAAGAATTAAAGCCTAGAAAACTGAAAAGATACAAATACGTAGAGCCTATAAGATGCAAGCATGGAACGAAGGCGTCCCTATTAGATGATATTTGTTCGAAGTGCGGAGAATCAATAAGTCCGGACTTCAGACAGCAATTACGCTCAATTAAAATGACCGAAGATGAGATAAACAGGGTGTCACAGTTATATTTATCTTATAAAAGTTATGAGAAATCAGTGAATTCGTTGATATTGCCTCCTATATCGGATCCGATTTACAGATTGCCAGAGTTGCCAGCGTCTTTGCAGAGCGCGCTTACTAGTGTTGAAGCGGACTATGCGATGCAATGAAGTGCCTTCCATTAATATGGTGCTTATTTTATAATATAAGTGTTATTTTTTTATTTAGTTAAAAAAATGAAATAAGTGGATTCTGACCAATTTTAGGCATGGATACACAACCCTATTAGTTAATATTATTAAAAATATATTAATTTATTTATATTTTTCCAAATTTTAGTTACCCAATTAGTGTTAAGTCCGTTTCTGGTGTTATTTTTTATGAAAAAACATATTATTTATTTTCTAAATAACTTTAACAATGTTACCTTATTGCGAGTTAAATAAACTGCGCATTGTAGCTAATACTATTATTATTTGTTATAATAATAGTGCTGTTATTAGAGATAGGAATATTTTGATGCGCAATTTGCTTTTCAAGTTTATTTATACATATGTATATTGTTTCTCAAGTTATAATCGTCTATATTTACCATAACTCATAGGTAATTTTTAATTCAGTAGAGGTCGACAGTTTAACTGTTGCCAGCAGTCATTTTGTCTAAATAGTGTATTAATAACGTTTAAATAGATATGTAGGTAGTGAAAATTTTTATTTTAAAATATCTACATGTACTTTAGAATATATTCAAAGAAAAATATAACAAATATATGACACACTGCTGAATTAAATTTTACCTCCCAATGGCTTTCCGTTCAAAGAAATAAAAAAAAATTTTTCTTTAGGCCTTTGAGGTTCAGCTGTACAAGAATAAATAGAACAAAATACATAAAGTTAGTTGAAATTTAAAAAAAAGACAAAATATTAAATATTTTTTCATTATTTTGGACCAAGTTGTGATTTAAACACATCTTTTCCTATGTATGCCTCAAGTTAGCTTGATATTTACCTGTGCCTGGTGCCATGAGACTGTTAAACGTTCATAAATATAAGATATTCTTGTTAATACGTAGGGCCACTTGCGCCAAACTCTTTTTTCGATTAAAATATCAGTCAAATGTAAAACTGACATTTTAAATTTTAATCAAATTAAGCATTTTGGTGCAAGTGACCCTTAATCTTTATACTAACTTCAAATTAAAAAAATAGACTATTTTTGTATAACTTATTATACGTAGCTGTTTATTCAAATTATCTCGTTATTATTATTAATGACACTTTGCTGATTATATTTTATAGGCGGACTAAAAGATTATTCGTTTAGTCTCATGATATTATCGTAATGATAACAACTTGTTATGTAAGTCTATTGACTTGAGTAAATGTGCTGTGAACAAGATCTCAAAAGTCAATATCGTCATAAGTAGATACATAGAGTAATTAGATGTAATAAAATATATTTACATATAAATAAATTTTTATTTCTATTTCTATTGTTGGTTGTAAAAAATATTTATTTAATAAATAATATATTAAGTGATATTATGAAGGTTGTAAAAGTTGTTGTTTCATAAAATTAATTTATACATAAACTATGTTTTGTATATTGTGTCCCTATTCCTAAAATAATAGTGTAGGTAGTTGTCAAAATGATTTTATCGCGTTTAAAAACTATTATGGACTAAGATCCCGCTGCAAGAACGCTACGTTCATAGCGTACCCGCTGCAAGAATGCTACGTTCATAGAGAATTTAATCAAAATCAATTTTGTATATACAACTAGCATTGCCCGCGGCTCCGCCCGCGTTTAGATGACCAAACAGCAAATTCTTAGGTTTTACATATTAGTATACTCTTACAATGCAGTTTTTGTATTTTTTCTCAGAAATGAGATATTCTCCGCGGTAAAAAGTATCCTATATGTAAAAATACCCTATATGCTGGTTATCCACTCGGAGCTATCACCATACCAAATTTCATCAAAATCCTTCCAGTGTTGTTTCTGTGATGCGGTAACAGACAGACAGACAAACAGATGAAATTCTAAAAACTATCGGCCTCTGTATCGATAATAAAGTCTATTTCAATAAGATTTTCCAAAAAATATTTAATGTACAGATTCGGCTTAGTTACAATTTTATTATATGTATAGATATTAAAAGGGACATTCAACTACATAACAGCTAGTATATTTAATTAAATAAATAATAATTGACCTTTCGGAACAAAAACGATGCATTTGTTATTAAAGTGAATTATACTCCACTTCACAGAAATATACGTATAGATCTTGAAAAGTGATAGCTGCCGTTGCGCATTTGGCCGCAACCTCTTCGTAAACAGGTGTAAGCAGGTCATGTTTCGTTCATGGCGTATAATCATCATTTTGCACTGGATTTACACTAGGGGCACCCGGGGCTAGTGCCCACGGTGGCATTAGGGGCGGCAAAATTTAGAGGGTGATAAAAAAAATTTCTTCGTGTTCTAAAATGCTTTTTTTATTTAAAAAAATATAAATAATTTAAAAAAATTAACTAGTACATTTTTCGAAAAATTGAAATCATTTATAAATTAGTTTTTTGCATTTTTCAAAAAAATTACTAAAATTAAAAAAAAAAAGACTATCGCAACTTTACATTAGGTACACACATTATAAGCAAAATTTCGATATTTGGGAGGTAATTTTTACTGTGCACAGGGGCGGCAGTGGTAGCCGGTAAGGTTGAATCCGGAACTTATTGAACTTGAACGTAGATGGTGATATAAGAAGACAGCTAGGGGTAGTTCCCAGTGGAGCTATTTTAGAATTTGCTCATTAATTGTAAGATATCTTAAATATAGCAAATTATCGAAGTACATAAAAATAAAACGATTAAAAAATGCAATTAACGCCATCTATGAATAAGAAGAATAATCTCATTTATACCTATAATTCTAGTAGGCATATTAAAGAACGCATTATTAATTTTTCTTTAATTAAGGGAGTCAAATTGAAAAACAACCATTCAAATCTGAGGCATGCCAGACTTTGAGAATTATTTAAAATTGGACTACGACCTATCCATCTCACAAATTATTATTTCTGTTATAGAGAATAAAATTGCCTAACAACTATGAGGATCCATCCCATCATCGAATTCCAAGGAGCCTATGCTAAAATATTATAAAATTAAAACTGAAATGTAAAACTACTAATGTAGCCTCACTTAAAAATACAAATTTTAATATTTATATATTTTGTAATCTGTGGCATTGCCAGGTGACAAATGTTTTGACAGCATGTATATTATTTTATATTGAATTATTCACCTATGGCAAGTAGAGGGACAAAAGTCAAAAACTATTAACTAAGCGAACTGCAAAGGCCAAAGAGGAAGTAAAATTTTGCTAACCAAGTAAAAATATTAGTGTTCGAGAAGTTTTTAGTTGTGATCATATGTTTTAGTCACGTTATTACATTTTAAAACCTGTAATTTTAATGCTTGTAATAGCTGTGAAGATATAAGCAAAAATGGTGTGTGTTCCCTGTTTTATTATTCCTGTTCTTTTGTTCATATGGCATAAATTTATTCAACCATATGTACTAAGATTTTGGAATCCTTGGGCCGTAAAAGATGCAGATGGCAATGAAAAAACAGAGTTCCCATTCAAATGTGAAGGTGGTGTTTGCGCCTTTAGCAAGAAATCGACCAATAATAAGACACAAGAAACAGAAACTTTACTAAAAAACCCTCAAGAAACTACAAAAGGCGCAGATGTTAGAATAAAATCAGATTAAACATCAGATTTATAGCCAGGCTACATTTTGCAGATATTTTAATGTAATTTGTTTAATATTTTCTTAACTTTGTGCAATAGTTAAACTATTTTATTGCTCATATTATAATTTATTAGAGACTTATTTTTATTGACATTTTTAATTAACAACAAATAAAAATCAGTGTAGTCCAAAAACTAAAGTAGGTAATTAATTTCCAATTACTTACTTTCAAATTATTGTTTTTATTACCAAAGTATTTAGCAATTTATTAACAATTATAAAATGAATTCTGACTTTGTGGGATAGAGGTAAAAAATCCTGTTTAATAATTAATACAAAGGTGGTATGAAATCATTACTTGTCAGTGGCATTTATGTTTGTTAGAAGAATAAAAGATTATTTACTGGAATATTGACTTTATTTTATTTCACCAAGACTATTATTACAATGGTTAAATGAGGCAGTATACATTTTGATAAAAGATAAACACTTAAAAATAATTGGATACAATTACCAGCAATACAAATCAAAATTTAAACATTAATTTACAGTACTTCACGATAGTATAAAAACAGGCTGCCTCAATTAATATAAAACATTTGTAGGATATATTGAATAAAAAGTTCTATGTGAAATTTTATGTCACAAATGAAGCTTAAATTAAAGAAAAAAAATTAAGTAAAAAGAGGTTATCTGTCAATTTAAATGTTATCTTGGATTTAACTTCTTACAATCTAAGTATCTTGTGTAATTAAAATTATAGGCTTACAGTATATAACTAATATGAGGCACTTACATTCAATTAAGACGTCAAAAAATAATAATTGTAAATGCCTCATATGTAAAAGACATGCTGATCAGCATTCTCTCGATGGCAAACATTCAACATTCAATAACTATGTCCATGACACGGCACTCAGATGTTAACATAACAATTTACTTAACATTTTTCAATTCTACTTCAAACACTAGAGTTGAGTTTGGTGGGATAACTGGCGGTGAACCCTTAGCACCATACCTGTAAAAAAATCAATCATCAATATAATCTTCATAGATATATGACAGGTACATATACAATTTATTTTAAAAAATAATCGAAAAGGATAATAATTGAATATTGTATGAATAGTATAAACTTTTCTACAAGAATTCAATCCATATTTTGTGGACATCAAAAATGTTTTTATTTTCAACAATAAAAAAAAGACTTACGCCATTGCTGGTGGGCATACAATCTTTCTTTTGCCTCCGACTTTCATTCCAGACACTCCTACATCCCACCCTGAAATGACTTCCTTGGCACCAAGCTTGAACTTGAATCCTGGTCCCTTTTGGCAATTGTCGAACATCTTGTTATTTTGTTTTAACCTTCCTTCATAATACACCTGTTATTAAGAAAACATGATATAAAAATTCATTTATTTTGTATGCTTACTCCAAACTAAATAACATTGGTCTACAAAATTAAAGCTTTCAAATACAACAATGCAAATTTTGCATGGCGAGAAGAACAGTTATAGTATCAAAGCATGAAGAAAAAGCACACAAGAGCTATGTTTTATTGAGCGGTTGATTTCTATATATGGTGAAATAGTGAAGAGTAGAAAACCAATTACATTATAATACATATACTACATATAGCAATTACGAAGATAAAATAATATTTACCATGACAACTTTGCCTGGTTTAGCAACTTGTCCAGATCCTACTTTTAAATCTTCAATAAAGACCCCACCACTAAGGGATTTCTTCTCTTTCTTGTCACCTTCGGCATCTTTCTTGGCTTCAGGTTTTTTCTTTTCTGCCTTTTGTTCTGGCTTTTCTTTCTGGTATAAAATGTAACATGCTACTTTAAAAATATGATATTATTTTTTATGGAATATGAATATTCCAGTGTACAAAGAGATATCTTATTTTAATTTCATAATGAAGAATATAATTATATTAATTTCTAAAATTCCTTACTGAATAATATTTAGTTTTATATTCATTTTAATTTAATATAATACATATGAAATGAAAAAAATACCTTTGCTTTATCAACTCCATTTACTTGAGGTTCTTTTTGCTGCTGAAGTTTCTTCTTTAGTCTCCTTTTTTGAGATTTAGTAAGCTTGGACATATCCACTTTCTCCTCTTTACTGGTATCCAATGTTGAATCTGCCTTCTCAGAGGCTTCTTCTTCATCGTCCTCTTCTTCCTCCTCCTCCTCCTCTTCTTCTTCAGCTTCATCTGAATCTTCTTCATCATCACTGTTTGTACATATAATACTTATTTCAATTATAATTTTCTTCAAAAAATTTAAAAAATATGGAATACTATGTGTATATGCAATACCATTTATGTATGTATTTCAAAATATTTTCGTAATAATGTTTTTTATAGACAGAATATATTATATTATAACACAAAAAACTTATACAAACTGTTTATATTTTATTTATAAGGAGACATTAATTCTATATAATATCCAAATATTATTAACCAATGTTCATCCTTTCATTTAACACATATTAATGGTTTTAATTTAAAAAAAAAATAGATTTAATAGTCTTCACCTGTCAGCTTCAGCAGATGTGTTAACTTTGAAGGACTCATCGTTATCATCAGTGTCCATTTCTCCATCCAGGAATTTTTGTAGGTCTACACCATCCTCATCATCTGAGTCTGAACTGTCTGCCGCTGCTGCCTTCTTGTTGGCTTTTTTATCTTGCTGTATCATAAAAAATATTTTTTCTTTAATTACAATATAATATGTATATGTAAGTATGTATGTTTGTATATTTATATAGATGTTTGTAGTTAATATCTACACTACCTAATACATAGTATTAATAATTATATACATTCCTACATCATACAGGTAAGTTAGTTGTCAAATTATATGTATATAAACTTACTTTGGCCTTTTTGCTTGAAGCTCCATCATTGCTATTTTCTAACTTCCTTTTATTTTTAGCAGGAACCAAAGTTGGGACTTCCTCTTCTTCTTCCTCCTCCTCCTCCTCTTCTTCCCCTTCATCAGAAGGTTCATCTTCAAACTCCGGGTCCAAGTATCCCGTCAAGTGAACATTGCATTTACCTAGACCAAGAATAAGTATAAACACACGTAATATATGTAACAATTAAAGAAAACTTATATTGTGTTTTAGTTTTTAAATACATTTTGGTTACTTGAAGTACAATATTTAATAGCTTTTATAATATGTGATTATCTTTATAATAAAGAGGCAGTTGGTTTGTTTGAATGCACTAATCACATGAACTAATTGTCCAATTTGAAAAATCTTTGTGCATTAGATAGCCCGTTTATTGAGGAAAGGCTATAGGCTATATATCATGCCAGAAAATGTACAGTTCCCATGGGATAAATTGTTTTTGTCTAGGGACGATCCCGAAGCAAAGCCAAGGTAAAAAATACTAACCATTGGTTAAGAACGAAATTGAATCTCCAGACTTGAAATAGAGATCTAGAGGTACTTGAATGGACTTGTTCTTTTGTAATGTGCACACAAGAAAGTTCTTGCCATCAACTACAACCATTACTTGGCATGGTTCATTGTCACCCGTCGAGATATCCATAGCTGCTTGTGATATATGGAACGGTTTCTCCACTAGTTGAGAATACCGCTTGTTCGGTTCCATTATTAGTCCTAAAATAAAACGTAAGTAAAATTATCTTACTATATAATTTATAAAAATAAATTTCATTTTCATACTAGTAATGTCACTAAATATTATAAAACCAATATTACTATATGTAATAATATAAATAACACGGATTCGATATTTTTTAAAATGTACTTTTAACGTATTCGACATGTGTTGACGGCATTTCTAACGTCTCACACACATCACATCACATTGGCCTTTTAAAGAATGTAGATACTGTTCTAATCGATTCGTTGACAAATCCATGGATCGTACCATGATTAATAAAGTGATTTATAATGCTATAATACTCTTTTTATGGAATATAATATTAAAAGGAATAAACACGTGGTGGTATATGGTTACCGGTTACTTACCCCAAAACATCTTGGTAGTTTGTATTATGTAGGAATATAATGAAATGAGTTACGAGACAAGTACAGTAAGTAAACTCTTATTTAAAAGTTCAGAAAGTATAAGCTAAATATCACACTATAACTAGGCGGCAAAATTACAATACCGCGTTGACCACCACACCACAAAATTGAGAAGATCAAGACAAGTCTAGAAAACGACAAAAGCGCCACCAGTCACCACGGGCCACCACAAAGGCGCTTCCACAGATAACATAACATAGACAAGGAACAGCACAGATAATTTATTTAAAAAAGCCGGCACCAGTTCATTATTCTTCTGGTTCAAATCTCGTGTGTACACTTATTCAGTACATACTGATCCGGCCACGGGCCAGCCATTAAATTTTGTGAGCTCTACTACGTGCATATAGCACCTACGAATAAATAATAAGTTATTATATAACTTTTATTCGTAGAATATATACCACACAGATTTGGTTCACTTCAGCCTTCAGATAACTAACCGTATGGAATTTTGTAGATATTATACTATAAAGTTTGTTTTTTTGTTGGGAGACGCTCAATACCACTTTAAATTTATAATGAATATATCATACTTATGAAATAGTACGAGCGTTCACCCAGTATACCCAGAGGAAACAACATAGGAATCATGGATGACAAATAAATAGGAATTAGGAAGCTTAGGAGATGAAATTCGATGGACGTACATTGGTATGTACTGTGTGGTAGTCATAATTGTTATTATCTATGGTTAGAATAATATCTGAAAGAAATTTTACTTATTTTTTTATTTATCTGTGTACATAATTTCTAGTCTATAAAATATTTTTTGTCCTTTTCTGTTAACTGTCAAACGGCGGATACGCAGTTTCCACAATGGTGAGAGTTATTTTATAAAGAAATCCAATAATATCCCCGTAATCATTTTAAAATTTTAAGAATTAGCGTTCCGTATGATTAAATATGTACTATTTATGAGTATAATAACGTTATTTATGTATTTGGTGGTAAACTTAATAATTGCAGGGTCGTGTCAGGACTAAGACCGTCAAAAAAGCAGCGAAAATCATCATTGAGAAGTATTACACTAAGTTAACTCTTGATTTTGATACAAACAAGAGAATATGTGAGGAAATTGCTATCATCCCAACTAAGCCTCTTCGTAATAAAATTGCTGGGTAAGTAAAAAATACATTTCAGAACTAATGTAACTAAGAATGTTTTTTAATTTTTCAGGTCACAATTATATTTAAATGCGTTTTAATGTATTATGCTGTTTTAGGAATTCATAAATTTTGTATAACCTATTATAATATTCTATTTGTTTATATACAAACATTGAAAACCTTTAAAATATGCTTTAGATTAAAAAATACTTTGTGATAAGTCTGATAAATTTGGTGCACCAAAAAGATAATCAAATTACTTTTCATTGTTACATTTTAAGAAGTTGCATTTTGTGGTGTTTATACCTACATGTGTGGTAATTTGATTAATAGCAATAGGTTGTTGAAGAAGTATTTCTAAATCAAAAAGCTTAGAACTTATTGAAAACTAAAATATTTAATATATCAGAAATGAAGTAGATTCCATTAAAAAAGATCTAATTTCAATATACATCCTTCTTTTAGGTTTGCCACCCATTTAATGAGACGTCTCAGACATTCCCAAGTTCGTGGTATCTCCATTAAACTGCAGGAGGAGGAGCGTGAAAGGCGTGACAACTATGTTCCAGAAGTGTCTGCTTTGGAACACGACATTATTGAAGTAGATCCTGACACTAAGGAAATGTTGAAAATGCTTGACTTCAACAACATTAATGGTCTTCAACTCACCCAACCTGCTACACAGGGTGGATATGGTGGCAGACGTAATTAAGGATAATAAATTTTAAAACTTAATTCCAATTGTTTTATTCTTTTATTAAAACACTAGTGACTCACCCTTGCTTCGCTCAGGTTTGTCCCTAGGTTTATTCTCCATATGAACATTCATCCCCATTTTCATTCCCTTAAGGGATGATTTCTGGGATAAAAAGTATCCTATGTCCTTCTCAGGGTCTCAAAACTATCTTACCAAATTTTATCTAAATCGGTTCAGTTGATCCAGAGATTACCCCCCTACATCACAAACTCTTAAGAATATTAGTATTGTTACCTTTTTTGATATACACACATGATTAGAGTTAAATTGACTAGGTATCTATTTTACCATATTTCATTTGATTATCAAGATATTGAAGAGATGAACAAAATTCAATAAAGATTCGTAAATGAAATGAGACAATGAAAAAATAAATTGAAAATACAGTTTATTTTACGATATGAAATATCACTATGTAAAAAGTGTTTGCTGTTACATACTTGCATGTACGATGTTCAGAAAATAATTATTATGAACTGATCATTAGTGATAATAGAATATGAAAAAATAAATTATTGTGGCTATACAAATGTGAGAATGTATTTGTACTTGTCAATATAAAAATGACATTAAGAAAAATATAAGGCAAGTTTATTTTATCTGTGCTACTAGCTAGTACGCGTATCCGAGCATGAACATTGTTGTTTGCGCCTTGCGGTGTTTCGTTTGCTTGATGTTTTCTCGCTCGTTCGCTCTTATTCAATGTGTGAAATGGATAAATTGCTCTCGTTCGTGTTCGGGTGTACCATTTTGTGATTCGTAATAAATGTGCTGAGGACTCAGTTGGATTTCTATGAATTAAAGATCTTATTTTATTGCATTATTATTAGATTAAAATTATTATGAATAATGGAATGTACCCATTTGTTAGATAACGTCAAGTTGGATAGCGATCTTTTCGGTGAAGGCACTTCGATCACAAAGAACTTCGATTGTTCAGGTAAAATATGCATTTATTTTCATGTACGCATAGGATTTACGATTACTCGAACTGTGCAATTAAATGGTCGCATAGTATGTTTTAATGGGAGGTTAGTTTGAAAAATCAATACAGCGAACTAAAATAATCAGCTGTTCATGAGGTGAAGGGAGGGAGGGGCGCGGGCCGCGGCATGGGTGACCGTGAAGACGTGATTGCTACTTATTTATGCGTTAAATAATTTAAAACCGATTCAAGATTGTATATGTACCATAAACTTTATGCTTTAGATGAAACTTTTATGGAGTAATCCTAATTTAGCTAATACTTATTCTTTTACAAGGAACTTGCATAATTACTATAGCCTAAAGATGTTACTAACACTTAATTTTACATATGAAACGGAATATAATGATTAATGACTCACGAAGCAAAACATTTACATTATTGCTGACATAGATTTATTTTTGCGTAGTAGAGCTACTAATCTCTGACATCAGCATTTCTAATGTTGCTATGATTGTATTTTTCCTTTTGAATGAATACAAATATGCTGATATCCCGAGATCAAATTGCTAAATTGTTGTCTAATATTTATTTAATATTAGTTAGACAAACAAAAACAAATCTATCACATGGGATCCGTACAGTTTTGCGGGATATAAAGTAGCCTATTTGTTATTCTGATGTATGAACTATATTATTGTAAAGTTTCATTAAATTTTAATTAGTAGTTTTTGTGTACGAAGCTGTATAAGTTACTATAGTTTTTTAATTATCCCACGGGAACTAATTTTTCAGGATGAAAGTAGCTAAAATGTTGACCGGGAATATAAGGTACCACCATGCAAAATTTCATTTAAATAGGTCTGACAGTTTTAGAGATTAGTCCGTACAAACAAACAAACAGACAAACGGAGAAACAAAAAAATTGAAAAAAAAACTGGATTTCTATTTCTCTTCATACATCTCCCTGATTCGGCTTTTAGCATGTTTTTCTGTGTATAGACATTCAACCTCTACAGTTTTATTATATGTATAGATTTTCTTTGTATTTTTAATTGTTACAATATTTTACAACAAAACCAAGATATAATTTACTTGGAGGAGTTTTAACGTTTACATTAATAAGTGCTTTTAAGAGATAAATAAAATATGATTTAAAATTCACACAGAATGTGCAATCAAAGAGCAAAATTGGTTGTGTCTGCATTGTGGAGTGATAAACTGTGGCAGGTATGCAAATGGCCATGCAAAGCAACATGCAGAGTCACAAGACCATCATGTGTGCATGAGTTGTGATGCTTATTCCGTTTACTGGTAAGATGTTTATTAATAATTTTAGTTGTTATTAACTTTAGTTTTTTAATATTATATACTATTCTTTACCGCACTTATATGTGAAATACTGAGATTAACAAACAATAAAATTAGTTAGCAAAGATGGACTTATCTCTAGAAGAGATCTTGTCCAGTCAACCTAAGTGAGTTAGAGAGATAGTGTTAAAAAGCATTAACTATGTCAGGGGTTCTAATAACAAAGGCGGCAAAGTCCCATATAATGTCAAACATCGATTATTCGATTATGTCCCTCATGTTATTTAAGTTTCTTAGTTAACTGACTTGTTTTAGCAATTATATACAGCTTAAAATAAAAGGTATCAAATTCATACTTATATAAATAAATTGTAACAAAATATGTAATATATTTTAAATGTTATTAGTTGTTTGTAAATAACTTCAACTGGACTTTGCCGCCTTTGTTATTAGACCCCTGATGTAACAGATACCTATAATTTTGTATGTTGTAAAAACATAACTTATGCTATTTGCTTGGTTTCGACTAAATTATTATAGCTAATGAATTATTTCAATTGATTTATATAAACAACAAATATGATTAGTAGCTGTAGTCCGGTAATAATTACAATAATTTCCAAATAGTCTATGCATATGAATAAACACATTAATTAATACATAATTCTTTTTCAGTTACAAGTGTGATGATTATGTTTCAAATGAAGCGGAGTTTCAAACTATAGATAAAATAAGACAAAGTATTATGCAAGTTAGGGATAGTGAAAACGCTGAACCAAATAGCAATATAGAGGAAATTGATAATGTAAACAACGACGAAGTACCAAGCCCCATTATAACTGAATTAGAGTCAAATAATAAGATAGAATTGACTCTTAGTGTGGAAGAATCTGTGGATGTAACTCCTGCCAGCTCTTGTGAGGCACCTGATATAGAACCTGGTGTTTCAGAATCAGCAGAAAGCAAAACTTTGAAAGTAAATAAATTGATATCTTATTTAGTTTAGATTATTCTTAGATATAAATAGTGCAAAGATAAATATTTCAGGGATTCTCAAATAAAAAATTTAATTTATTTTTAGGCCAAAATAAGAAGTTGGTCTTTTTATACCAACGGCACTTTTTATTTATCTCAAGCTTTAGCTTTTTATTATATTTTATTTTATTCTGGCAATGCAGGCATATTATGCTAACAAATTACCCATAATTTTGTTTGTTATTTATGTAATCTAAATGTAATACTTTTTTTAATATTATATTATAATACACCTTTTTTATATTTTCAGAATGCAGAAGAGCCAGCACGAAGCTTGCGACCTCGTTCACGGAAGCGATCTCACTCGGATGATAATACAGAAAATACAAGTACCAAAAGCAAAGAAAAAAAATCATTCCCATGTAATGGGAAAAGTCAAAGAGAAAAAAAGATAGTAGGATTAAAAAATTTAGGCAATACATGTTTTATGAATGCAGTGTTGCAAAGTTTGAATAATATACAAGAGTTTAGTTGCTACTTTAGTCAGTTGCCGTCTCTGGAAATGAAGACTAATGGGCGGAAAGTGTATCATTCAAGGAGTTATACACGGCAGGAGATGCAAGATGTTGTTATGGCTGAAGAACTAAGAAAGGTATGTTACTTTTTCAGTTTATCATTAAAGTTTAATATTGGTATTTTGTTATTGTGGTATGTTCAATCTATTAAATAAATTATAATGTAATATTTTAAATAAAACTATCTTTTCGGATTTTTTCACGGACTTATTTTAATTTCCAACGTTTTGTATACTTTAGACGTCTCATAGATCAAAAAATTAAATTAATCCCATGAAAAAAACTGAAAAGATAGTTTTATTTAAAATGTCAAATATTCGCGTAAATCTAAGAAAATATTATTATATTTTAACAAATAATTTTACAAAAAACAACAACAACAACAACAAATAACAACAGTTAGTTATATCATACTCCATTGTAATTATAAATTATGAAAAAAAAAATATATAAATTTCAATTATACAAAATATGATTTTGTTATATTTCCAGGTGCTAATAAATCTAAACACGGGTGGGTGTGGGTCGAAAGGCGCTATATCACCAGAATGCTTGTTCCTTGTCATATGGAAAGTGGTTCCACGTTTTCGTGGATATCAACAGCAAGATGCTCATGAGTTTTTACGGTATATGTTGGACAGGTCAGAACATGAGTTTTTTTTAAATTTCTGTATAAAATGTGTGCAATAAAGTAACTGTGATCGCAGATTTTTTAAACATCAGAAAAATTGTATAATTTAGATATTACTAAAGAACCATATACCAGAATTTTCTTTTAGATGACTTTTAAAATTTGATAACACATTTTATAGGTAATTTATTTATTTTATTTTAACTTAAGTATACATAAAATATCCATTTATGCTCCTTACATAGACTTCTCAGTTATTTCAATAAATTTTCCATTCTACCTCGGATACCCGTGGCACTTCCTATATAAGAGTAATTTAATCCGCCCACTAGCAAGTCATTATTTTTGGCCTTTATCTTTGTTATTGGCTTATATTTCAAACACATAGGATGCTACAGATTTAAACCTAGTTCGTACTGAGAAATAAATGTTTTTATTTTTTTATTTTACAAGAAAGCTATATTTTTAAAGAATAATTTAAATTTGTAATAGCTATATATATGAAATTACTATTTTCAGATTACACACGGAACTATTGCAGCTATTGCCGCCGGATCGCGCGGAAGGTGGCTTTGTGCCCAGAGCTCCTTCTTCCATAGTGACTGCTGTGTTCGGTGGGACCTTGCAGAGTGAGGTGTGTGTAATTATTATTATCGTTTTCTCTCGGCCGTATAATATGTGAATGTATTATTATATCTTTAGTAGTTTTTGCATGGAGGGGTAGCAAACATAATTCACTTTCATTTAATTAGTATAAGCGCCTCCTTGGTCCAGTGGCTCATATATTTGGCTTTGTGATCCAGGGGTTGTGGGTTCAAATAACAGTCGGGCAGTGATATATAGATTATATTAACATTTTGTTTTTTATCTTTTGATTAATAATAGGTATAAGAATTGCAAGAAATACACAGCCAAAGAAGTATTTGCCCTAATCAAAGTGTAGTAAGTAAGTAATCAATATGAAAGTTGAATGGTTCAAAGACATTTTACTACTTAGTATGGAAAAGTTTTTTTTTTTCATTTTTTTTTCATGAATTTATCCGATGTTTTAATAGTTATTTTGCTATTCGGGGTGAAGAAAAATCCAACAAAACAAAGATCATAAAAATCGGTCCAGCAGTTCTCGAGTTCTAAGTGTTGTAACAAACCCGACTTTGTTTTATTTATATGTAGATATAGAATATGTACTACATATGCCTTCTAAATACAGGTTCGCTGTTTAGCTTGTGGGTCAGAGAGCAAAAAGTTCGATCCGTTTCTAGATTTGTCTCTGGAGCTGCCGGATACGGGCCGCCACGACGCGCCGGTCACCCTCACAGACTGTTTGTCCAGCTTTGTACAGGTGTGATCCATTTACATTTATTTATTACTAGTTATTGATTGCGACTCTATTTACGTGATCACTTCGTCGACAAAATGTTATTATTAATTTGAATAGTGTATGAAACATTTTCTTATTAACTTACTGAAAGAAATAAATATTTATATTATTTTATATAATTCACGCAAGATTTAATTTAATTAGAAATCACAGTTTTTTTTAATCTGTTCTAATATTATAAAGAGGAAATTTGTTTGTTTGTACCGAATAGGCTTCGAAACTATTCAACTATTTCATCTAGAAATTGGATGAGAAGATAGTTTGAGACCCTGGAAAGTACATAGGATACTTTTTAAATCATTCCTTAGAGAGAAAATGGGGTTGAAAGTTTGTATGGGGATGGAACCTAGGGACGAACCCGAGCGAAGCGAGGTGAGTCTTTAGTTGAAAATATATAGTAGACTAGCGACTCACTCTCGTTTCGCTCGGGTTCGTCCCTACTTACGTTTTAACGCTTAGTATCGATTTCTCAGGGATGAGATATTTTCTCGCTGTAAAAAGTATCCTATATGTTGACCCGGATAACCAGCTATCATTATACCAAATTTCATCAAAATCCCTCCGGTGGTTTTTTCGTGATGCGGTAACAGACAGACAGACACAAAAATTCTAAGAACTATAGATTCGGCCTCTGTATCGATAATAATGTCTATTTCAATAAGATTTTCCAAAAAATATTTAATGGTGGTACAGATCCGGTTTAGTTACAATTTTATTATATGTATAGATAGACTAGAGTTATGTATGGAATAAACACATCCAGCAAATGACCTCCTCGGCATTGCTGAGACATTACGAACTCTTTTGTTGAAATTTTTCGTGATTTCGACAATAATTTCGTCATTTTGCATAAATGTGGCCGAATTTTGACTCCTCTTTCAATGTAGGTGGATGAGAGGTTATTACCCAAGACTTTAAATTTACATCAGTTAAATCACATGATCTACGGGACCAATTCTGATCACCGGAAGGAGAGAGTACACAACCAGGAAATGTCTCATGCAATTACTCCTTTACAGTTGACGAAGTTAAATCAATATTTCTACCATATTTTGTAAGAAACTTTAAGAACCCAATTTTTATTATTTTTTAAATATTTTCCAACAATCAAAACGCGTGGTTATTTTGTGGAGTGCTCCAATTTTATTAACCTTATATTCTTAGTATACTTCTTTTTTTGATGCCAACACTTACCGCGCAAATTCAAATCTTGCGTGAATTTTGGGACATTTATAATACATATAATTAAATTCTAACTAAGACGAATCTGTACATTAAATATATTTTTTTGAAAATCTTATTGAAATAGACATTATTATTGACACAGAGGCCGAATCTATATTTGTTAGAATTTTTGTCTGTCTGTCACCACCAACACCACCAACCACTGGAGGGATTTTAATGAAGTTTGGTATGAACCCAAGCTGAACAAGGGTGAGTTGCTAGTCCTTATATAAAAATTATGTTGAATATATGCATTACAGATTGAGGAGTTAGCTGATACGGAACGTTACTTCTGCAGCTCGTGTAAGTGCAAGCAGAAATCCACCAAACAGTTTTGGATTCGGCGGCTGCCTAATGTCTTGTGTTTACATCTCAAGAGATTTCGATGGCACAATTACTTTAGGTAAGCTTTTTAATATTCTTTATTTTTTTATAGTTTTTGAATAACTTAGTTTAAAAATGTATGATCTTGTGGATCGCATATTTTTATTAAGAATGGTAACGTAAACTAAAACAACTGAAAATACTTTCATTATATTTTTTACCTATAATCGAACACCGTTATCGTAAAAACGGATCGAATCATGAGGAAATGGCGTAATCGCTGTCCTTCACAAACCACAGAGCTGACTCCACACTTGTTAAATAGCGTAATTTTTATCATTCATGAAACACTGGATAAAGTTAGTGCCACACTCGGGAGAAGATGTCGTTATTGTATTCGTCAAACATTTCATCTAATGCTGGACCCATACTTGTCAAAAAGTGTAATTTTTAGTCTGAGAAACGCTGGTTAAAGCTGGTTCCATACATGACAAAAAGAATGATTGTCATTATAAAAAAGTGACTAATGCTAGTACCACACGTGTGCAGAACAAAAGTGGACACGAGCATATCGTTCCCGCTGAGCGCGCTGGACATGTCGCGCTTCGTGCTGGCCAACGTGCCCGACACGCGCCGCTCCGGCCGCGGCTCCTTCCTCTACGACCTCGCCGCCGTCATCGTGCACCACGGCTCCGGGTACGTGTAATATAATGACCCTACTTGCTGTGTCACTACTGACTACTCACGGGTTTGAGTCCCGTTGGGGGCATTCATTTCTGTGATGAGCACGAATGTTTGTACTCCAGTCATGAGTGTTTATATTTATAATATGTATGTATTTAAAGTTATATGTGTAGTGTATCAACTATCTTGTATCCATAATACAAGCCTCGTAGCTTATTATGGAACTAGATGGTGATGTGTCTCAATGTCCCAAGATATTTTTATTATATGCACGCATGAAACACGCACACGTGCACGCAAGCAACACATGCGAGCACATTACTCGTGCTGATAAAGTTTATGAGATAAGAATAAATGGGATAAGAAATGGCGGGTCGTTAGAGACATGACTTTTAATTCTCAAATATAGTGAAATATTTAATAAATACAATTATTTTTTGGCTGTCGTTTACAAGCTAGAGATGATAGTAGAAGTTTTGTAATTTGATTCAGTTTTTGCATAAGTTAATATACGTATTGATACAAGCATACATATGTGACAACCGGATGCGTATTATCACAGATATGGGCTAGTGAAATTAATAATAATTAAATATCACAGCACAACATCACATTTGGAATAACATTTATAAGTTAACTAGCGACTCATCATTACTTAACTCGGGTTCGTCCCTAGGCACGTTTTAAGGGTTAGTATAGAATAGATATACTATAATACTAGCGACTCACCCTCGCTCCGCTCGGGTTCGTCCCTGAGGTGGGGTCTGGGAGGACCACCCTTATCCTTATCACTTAGGGGTATGGAAAATAGATAGTAGCCGATTCTCAGACCTACTGAATACGCATATAAAATTTGGTAAGAATCGGTAAAGCCGTTTCGGAGGAGTACGGTAACTAACATTGTGACATGGAAATTTTATATATTAGATATTACACATAATATACATATATACATAGGTATGATGAGTTGTTGTGTGTTGTATTATAACGTCTTTTCCCGTTAGAATGAGATAATCTTCCACGGAAAAAAGTAGCCTATATCACTCCAGCCCTCCAACTATCTCCACATAAGAAATCACACCAAACCGTCACTCTTTCGACGTGACCGCAGAACAAACAAACACACTTTCACATTTATAACATAAGTATGCATTAATGCCAACCAACAGTTTCGATCGCTAAAGAAATTCATTCGTTCAGATCACATTTCTATAACAACCATATTAAATTTCAGTGCGGGATCAGGCCATTACACCGCGTTCGCGATCAACGAGGACCAGTGGTTTCACTTCAACGACCAGACGGTGCGCGCCACCGACGCGGGCGCCGTCGCCTCGTGCAAGCCCTACATACTGTTCTACATCCGCCGCGAGTTCTCGCTGCCCGCCGTCTCGTGACAACCCTGACACCTCACGTGCTCTGCTCCCCTGGTAACTCCACAAGCCGAAACATGCTCTATTGCATTAATCTTCTTTAGGTTTGGTTTTGATTACACTGTCTCGTGACAATCCGGATACTTCAAGTGCTCTGGCTTCCTGGTAACTCTTCAAGCCAAAACGTGTTATATAGCAGTAATCTTTAGGTTTGGTTTTGTTTGCGCCGTCTCGTGACAACCCTGATACCTTGGTCATAATTTTGTTGCCCGTGCATAAGGACATTGTGATACTTTTGTACTTTTGTAATACACTGATTCCATGATCTTTGATCTCTTATATGAATGAATACTCTGAATAAATTTAATATATGGTAAAAAAAACCTACTAGGTGTTTTATCTATTCTACAATTTCAAAAGAAAGGTCTGTTTTCTTTATTTTCCCTTAGATTCGGTTATAGTGTTTGATTTAGTCTAACTTTTTAATTATATAGACACCATTTTGTCGTACAGTTTTCATTTATATAACACAAATGTTATTCGCAATCTGCCTAAAAAAAGACTTAGGGAAGTGCCGTCACAACTACAAGAAGCAATATTGTAACTGTTGTAACAATTTTGAGTTAAAACTATAAATATTTAAGTCTTAACCACTTGAACCCCGTTGGTGCCTAAAGGCACCACTTCCAGTGTTGCCGTTAAACCCCGCTGGTGCCTATAGGCACCACCTCGCCCACTGCACTTTTATTATTTATTACAAGACGAAATTACTTTTATTTTGGCTATATTAGATATACATATTATCTTGAGAAATAAAGTCAGCCATAGTCTAGTATAATAAAATATTCATTAAATGCCGACAACATTTTAAAAAAGGCAGTAAAATTTGATACTTTTTTTTGCGAAACGCGCGCTTTACTCCGTCGGTTTTATGTTGTTTTATATATATAAACTAATGAATTTGTAAGTTAAGTGAAATGATATATGTATATTATAAGCATTCTTTGTAATTATTAAGATAATAATAAATATCATAAAAATATTTTTTGAACGAATATATGTCATAAAAATATTTTTTGAACGAATTTTGATGTATCAAATTCTTTAAACACATCGCCGTAATTTTTCTTGAATTAAGATATTTTCTTTATAAATTGGTTCCTTTCAAAAGTATATTATGATAAAGAAACTAATATAATTTAATATTATCAGTTATTTGTAGCATATTTCAGTAGCTTTTTACCAAAACTTATGTTTATTTATAAATAATACCTTTGAGCTGTCTTTGACGTTTGTCTTGATTTTTATATTTTTTTATGTAAAGGTAATCCAAAAACAAAAATTAAAAAAAAACGAACTTCGACCATTATTAAGAAGGTTATGAGCAAAAAACCACAAAAAAAACGTTTTTTTTTGAAAATTTGATATTTTTGAACCAGTGATCAAAAAAATCTCAATCTACCAGGAATTTTTACGAAATTTGGTATGGTGTTAGCTGGTTATCCGGGTCAACATATAGGATAATTTTTTGCCGCGGGAAAATATCTAATTTCTGAGGAAAAATACAAAAACTGCATAGTACTTACAAACCAATACAAGTTTTTGGTAATCTGAATAATGCTAATTAATTATATAATGCTAACTTGTATTTTTATTCGTAAGTCACGCAAGACTGATTGCGTAGGTACCTTACGTGGCAACCATCGCAGCGTAATCCAATCATGTCACTGCAAAATAAAAGAAGGCCAATTTATTGCTAGACATTCTGGCGATGAATCTCTTTTAGCTTATTGAGATAAAAAACGGAAAATAATTACAATATTAACCTATCATGGTACTTCTCAAGGTCTAATGCCTCCTCAATCATATCGTCCAACACAATATAAGCCCCAAGTTATATTGGATTATAATCAAGGTATAGGGCGGTGTTGAAAAAAAGACAAAATGTTAGAGCTACATTTAATACAGCAAAAAAAATACGCAAAATGGAATATGAAGGTTCTTAAGCGGCTTCTTAATTGTTCCATTTTAAACGCCCGTATCCTCCATTCTTCAAATGCCACTCCCCGAAAGCAATTAATTCAGATTAAAATTAGTCCAAGAAATTCTCAAAGAACACCTTCAATACGTCCCTAAACCACCACCTCGTATTATACAGACTATTTCCGGACGGAAAAGAACACAAGCAGACGCGAACCACATACGAGTATGTGTATGTGATATTTCCCTTTGCATTGAACCTTGTTTTAGGTTATATCATACCAGTTCCGGGGCCAGTTGAATGTATGGTGAATGAAGAAGAATATACTATGAATGAATGTAGAATATTGTAAGCGGGTGCCATCTGATGACATTTAGGTATTATAAAGTTTCCATATACTTGCCTGATTATTGACTTGACTATATCATACGAATTGTACCTAAGAGTGGCTTTTTTAGCCATTGTAGTCAAAAGGCAAAAGCGGAATCTGTCCGCCTGTCCGTATATCCCAGCCATTTTAATCTTAGATTATTGGAGCTATATTGCTCAAAACAGAGTAAAAAAGTCAATATATAATTTTAAAGTCATTCAAGTGATAATATAGAAGATGTTGATGATGATGATGATGAGGGATGAAAAAATGCAAGAATTATGTAGTATTTAAATTATGGAAAATTCTGAAAAGTATTGAGAACATAAAGCTATGACACACAAAGTTGTATTGTCGGTAAAATGAATATTGTGTCTATATTAATAAATATATTTTACTTATAACGTAACGAATTACGTAATATAACAAATTTAATATTTAAAACACGGAATTCTCGGTGTGCGATCTTTCTATATCAACTCAATAAAACAAACTAAAATATATATTTTTTTCGTTATAATTTTTAAAATATCTATAATGTACCAAAGTTATTTTATTTTATTACACTTATGTTATTTTTATAGATATATTTTATTATAATAAATAAATAAATATGAAAATATAAATTACTAGCATTGCCTGCGGCTCCGCACGCGTTCCGATGACCAAAAACCAAATTCTTAGGTTTTACATATTAGTATATTCTTATAATGCAGTTTTTGTGTTTTTTCTCAGAAATAAGATATTTTCCCGAGGTAAAAAGTATCCTATATGTTGACCCGGCTAAGCAGCTATCACCATACCAAATTTCATCAAAATCCCTCCAGTGGTTTTTCTGTGATGCGGTAACAGACAGATAGACAAAAATTCTAAAAACTAGATTCGGCCTCTGTATCGATAATAATGTCTATTTCAATAGGATTTTCAAAAAAATATTTAATGTACAGATTCGACTTAAAATTTTATTATATGTATAGATAGTCTTTATTTGTCTAACTCCTTAAAAAAATCAATAGTTTTTAGTGTTATGAATGACTGTTTTCAGTGCATTTTACGGACCACTTTACTTGTATATATTTTTAGTTTTTGTACGTGAAGTGTTAGTTTTGCATATATCCTATCTATATAAATAAAAATGAATCACCGAAATGTATGTACGCGCATAACTTTGGATCGATTGCACCAATTTGGATAATAAAAATTGTGTTTGTTATTGTCAGGAAGTTTCGTATAGAAGAAAATTAAAATTAAAAAAAAATACTAAAATAAGTTTTTTTTTAATATCATGATATGGAAAGTGAGTGAATAAAATAGTTTTTATCCCGAAAATCATAAATGAAACTACATCCACAGACCTTAAATTGCCCGTGCCCTTACATTAACAATAGTTTTACTTGTTTGGCGATTACATTTTATATTTGCTTAGAACTAGCGGTACTATTGTTGTAGGACGTGGTCCGACACTGACTTTTATTATTAACTTAACATAATATTTAAATTAAAATTTGTATATAATGGTTGCATCGGGGAAAAATGATGCGCGGGCTCGGTATTTAATGGGTGTTGCATTTCAAAAAGCGCGGGGTTCAAGTGGTGTTGCATTTCAAAAAGCGCGGGGTTCAAGTAGTCAAGAAATTAATTTCTATTACTAATTATTCAATATTGAGTTACAATATTGTTATTTGCAGGTTTCAACATTATCCAGATAACGGCGGAGCACACGGAATATAAAAGAGAATTTTCTCTCCCTACATACTCTCATTACGAGTTGAATAGCATACAAGTGAGGAAAGGTTACATATAAGGCAAAGCATTTTTGTAACATTGAATTAAAGTAGGATCCAATCATTGATATGCAAGCAATAAGCATCTTATGTACCTCAAGATCATGTATGAAATTATAAACTAAGTCATATGATTACTTAAACTTACCTACATATAATATATCCATCTCATTAAACTTTTTTTATATTAGAAAAGGATAGATATACTTTCATATTAATCCAGATGTTGAGAATAATTTCAAATACGTATAACGAAAGTGGCTATTGATGGATATATATGTCTCTTTTTCGTATGAGGATTAAGAATTTGAGTAACTTAATTTTATTAAATTTTAAATTAGAAAGAGATGGTAATACATTAATGATTCCATTTTTATTTATAAACAATTTCGAATTTATACTAAATAACTATGGCATTGAATTAAATACGAGAGTTATTGGGCTTACTTTTAGTGATTTGGCCAGTGTGTTAAGACTCTTAGGTTCAATTATAAGGGGCTGCGTTCAATTTTTGCTTTGTTTAATTTGAGACACATTTAACCCGTTAATAATTGGCAATGGAGAAGTTTCCAAAATCTTTGTAATGAATAATTTATAATACATTTATAATTGTTTTATTTTTTGTTAAGTAAAATATAACAAAAATATGAAAGAATTATTTAAATATCTGAAACAACAAATGAAAAAGTTTGCGCTTATAAGAATATTTTCCTGACGTCACACGACCTGAACGGCCGAACTTAAATTAACTTCTCCGTCATTTATTGATAAATTTCATTTTTTTTTAATTTATTTATTAGTTTTGATCTATATTCTAATTCCATTGCGTTAAATATGATATTAACAACATTATGGAACTTCTCCATTGCTATAAGATATGTTGTTTTTTTTGAAGTGTGATTTTAAGACATAGAATGATAAAAGTGTTTTATGACGCAGTCCCTAACCGTTTGGAATTTGTATTTAACCGAGTGTGATATGAAGTTAAAAGTTAATTAATGGAGAATTTAAAAATTAAACAAATGAAGTATGATTAAAACGGTTGTCTCTTATAACAGTGATTTTAATTAGTTATGTTTTAATGAATGAACAAAATAATGAAATGTAATAAGAGATTCCGATCTATGTGGTGGACCCCTGACTCTTTTTTCAGATGATTTTTTTTAAACCATAAAACATATTAATATTAACAAACACGACCTAGTGGGGTTGTCACGAAAAATTTGCTCCAGGCTATTTTTAAGTATTATTTTTTAAAGAACAAGTACTCTTTTCCTGTGACAACTTAGTATCAATCGAGTAAAAGACTTGTAAAAAATGTCTTCACACGGTTGGCGCTCTTTTTCGAATCCACATTACCTGACATCCAGGTTTAAAAAAATAAATTGAAGTAGTTAATTCGGATAGTATTATCTCCAGAGTCCAGACTAGAGGTTTTTAACTAAAACTACGAGTAAAGTTTTAGTGGCAACCCTACCTGGGTCGTGTTTGTTAATATGTTTTATTGTTTATAGAATAAATTTCGCCTGGGAAAAGAGTGAGGTAGTCCACCACATAGATCGGGATCTTAGACTACAAATAGAAGTTATGATTTCTGAGATTGAGAGCAGATCTCTTTTTTGATTGCAATTTTTCATAACAGATCTCATAATGTAGGATAATCACATTGTCGATAATTAAATAAATGAAATATAAAAAAATAATAATGTTAAATTAACTAGCATTTTTCTGTATTTTGTTTATTTTATATTTTTTTGCAATGAAGTAATAGTAAGTTATTTTGTTTTAATAGTTCCGACTGCTTGGACTATTTGTACTCAGTCCTTACACTAAGTTGAAGGGAATATAATATTTAAAAAAAAAAAACATACAGACGAACATAGAACCTCCTCCTTTTTGGAAGTCGGGTAATAAATGGTTTAGTATGAGATTTTACATTCCTGATGATTGTTTTTACCAACATGCGTTGTTTTGACGGCTTGTGTCTCAATGTGATAGAAAATGTGTGTAAATAGTTACTTTGATGATTTTGTGTCGTGATGTCTCTTTTGCAAGTACCTAATGTTCAACAACAGGTTTATTTTTAAGTACCTACTTCAATTACTGGAAGTTAAGTGATTGAATTTAATAAATTCGCCAATAAAAAGGATTTGTTTTATTTATCCATCACCATTAATAGTTCTGTGGGCTTCATTAGGTTTTATATAAAAATGATGAACATAATAAGTAAAAGTTTTAAAAATATTAGGTTTTGTTGTTTACCTACTAGTGCTTATCTGCACGGTTCTTAATAAAGTGGCAATAAAATCCAAATATAATTATGTAAAATTTAGAAAATTTTCGTTAACTTTATTTTTATACCTTCTTCTTTTGGCGCGTTTAGAAAAAAATTATGAGAGTAAAATTTTTACGATGCGCGCGCACACCGGCAGCCAAAAAGCGACATGATGAAGTTAGCTGCATTCCTTTTACAAACAGACAGTTGTGACATACAGGCTGAAATCTATAGCTATTCTTGTTCTGTTACGCCAAAGAAGTATAACTTGTTATGTGCGTACATAAGAACACACACACTTTTTTTAAAAGAGGATAAAAAATAGCATCGTTATCAAATTTTTAATTTTCTTCTACAAAATTTTGCCCAATTGTCAAGTGTAAAAAGTAATTACACAATATAATGTATTAACATTAATTTGAACTTATTTTTACTATCATTAAGCTCTATCAAGTCCATTTGAAAGTTATAATAATTTTCATTGTTTCGTTGAAGGATATTTCAGATATGGCATAAAATATTCTTATCTTGGCCTTAGAAATTGTTGAAAGTGACTTAAAGTTTTTTAATAAATTTAAATTGATTTAAAGTGTCTAATAAATATTTATTGTAATATATTTAGATTAAGAACTACTTACAGCATCGAACAAACTTGTAGATACGTTTAAACCATGGTATCCCTTCGTTTTCGTAATCGGTACTAAAGGATAATTGTAGCGGTGGAACGCTATTTGCGAGAGCTGAATACTGAGTCCATTCTGCAGGTTTTAGAAGGGACATATTTCTTACTAATAATTTATCATTTTGACTCGTAATTTTTTTGGTATTCAAATCACATTTCTCTACGTCTGATGTATTTAAATCACAGTCCAATACTTCTATAGCTTTTTCTTCATCATTGTTACTATCATTATCTATCCAATTTCCTTCTATTTTTTCTATTGGATCACTTATATGCTTTTTAGTCTGCAATAACTTGGGACTTATTTTTATTTGTGGTTTTTGTAGACTATTTATGTCTATATTTTCATTATTTATATCCGTATTTATTGCATTGGCTGTTACTTCGAATTTATTCGTGTTTTTACTATTTTCTTGTAATTTTGGACTAGTGGATTTGGTTTGCAAAATTATCTTTGAGTCAATGTTAGGACTACTATCTTCTTTTAAATCTAAAACTTCCTGTTCTTGTATTTCCTTAAGTTTCTTTCTTCTTTTTTCTCTTTGTGATAAAGTACTTAATTTGTGTTTATGGTTCACTGTTCTCTTTTGAGTAGTTTCAACGTTTTGATCGGTAAGAAACCAAGTGTTTACAGGCTTTATATTATGTATATTTATATTTTGCTTATCGGTTTGTCTGCTCTCTGTAATATTTAGGGAAGATTTATTTGGCTCAGTAACTTCAGTTACTGTAGGTAAAGTCGGCGAAGATGGTAGGTTTAATCTTGGTATATAAGTAGGGATGGGTGTTGCAATTCTGCGGATTGTTTCAAAATCCTCTCTAGGGTCATCATCATCTGTAAAACTGGAGTAACTTGTTTCTTGGCTAGGGATATTGTTAGCATCGTTACTTTCGAACAGATGCTGTCTATTTTTTTGAGAATAAATCCAAACAGTTTGTTTTTCTGGTTTCTTGTAGTTAATGTATGCTTTGTGACTGTCATAAGAATCGTCGCTATTCCAGTATATATCGTTTATTGCATTGTCAAACAGAAATACTTCTACATCATCTGAAGATGTTTCAGTTGAAGTTGAATTACTAAGAAGAGGAAACATCGAAGGGATTCTGTCGCCTCTATCGTGGCAGTCGATACCGTAGAAATCTGTACATGCCTGACTGAAGGCTGCCTCACTAAGAATGTTAGTTTTTGAATCATATTTTTGTTCTTGTCTTAAATTTCTTCTTTCTCTCGCAGATCTATTTATTGCAAAATCATCTTCAAAATCATTTGCCTTACAACTAGCGTTACTTTGAGTATTTAAATTATTTTCTTGGGTATAGTGCTCTTCATCGGATTTTATTTCTATAATTTCAACACCCGTAGAGAATTCTTTCTTATTTAATATCACGGGATTAAATAGTACAGTGGGATAAACTATGTTTCGATTTAAATCTGAAAAATTAACCGATAATTACAAAATTTGGTATAACAATTTTGAATTAAGCGGTTGAAAGTATTATATTGTTAGAAAACTTACGATTATATAAAGTATTTTTAGGGCGGTTGACGTTATTGTACATGTGTGATTTTTTCATTTTACATCTAATAATTAATAAGAGGAAAATTGTTTAATTTGCTTTAAATGAATTCTTGAAAACTCTTAAACATCAAATACCTAAAATATTTTTATGAGTTTTTGTTATGTTTATATGTCATTTATGTCATCATAAAAATATAAAAAAAAATATTTAACAACAGTGCCTTTTTTATTTATAAATTATTATTATTTTTAAGTCAATAAAAACTATTTTTTCCTAAGTCTAACAAGGATGCTACTATTAATAATAATAGCAATATTTCCGCTCAAAGTAAGTATTAGGTGGCGTTATATATTACGTTGGCTTACTATTACAAGATTCTATGTTAATTTTAATGAAGTTTAGTAATTTTTACGTACAACTTCGTTATTTTGTTATCGTAAAAAAAACAACATAGAACTATGTAAAATTGAATATTTTGTAGTTATAGTGCCGCTATCTAGTGGTTTGTTTTTGCAAAACTGTAGCTAAGCTAGCATCACAGAAATACTACTGGAGGGATTTTGATGAAATTTGGCTTAGTCATAGCTGGTTAGCCGGGTCAACATATAGGATACTTATTACCACAGGAAAATATCTCATATCTGAGAAAAAATACAAAAGCTGCAATGTAAGAGTATACTAATATGTAAAACCTAAGAATTTGGTTTTTGGTCATCTGAACTCGGGCGAAGCCGCGGGCAATGCTAGTATACATATAAAGGTATTTTATTAATTTTATATTATGGTGTAGAAACATTGCCTGTAAATTGGATACAACTGTACTGTTTCCCTACCTAACTTAAAAGTACTGGACAATGAGCATTATATCTAATATCAATTATTATGAATTGTAGCACTGTATTATTGATCTTATTGAACCGATAGGAGATATTGTAAAAAATCTGTAAATCAGCGCCATTTTTCCCGCATCGCCAGGTCTTTCCCATAGATGTATGGTAGCGACACGAAGTTATATAGTGAAAGTTCAAAAAGAGTTCGCTATTGTACCTACATTTTTACTATGGGTATCTACTCGTTCTCAATGCCTTAGTCTCAATACGTTGTCACCTTGGCATATCCCAATATAATAGCAGCTCCGTGCCAAATAGAGTTACCTATAACAAAGTTGGCGACCTAATTTGCAAAACTAGGTGCGATGCACAAGGGAATATTTCCCACCACTAGATAACGATATTCGGACGTCTAATGGAGTAAGTGCTTTGCCAAATGGCCCGCGCCGCGGAGCTTTTAATGCAATTTCACGTCCCTTTGTGCGAGAATTGGCGCAATCAATTCATTTACACTTTGTTTCGCTAACATTCTACTCGCTGCTATCCAACACGCCGGCTTTTAGCGACAACCTAATTGGCCTTTTATCACACTTTGTTGGAAAATATTTTTTGAACCGTCATTTTAATAATACTTTTTAGGAGTTTTGGGGTTCGATTTGTTATATATCTTTTGGTAGGGGCTCTGTTATATTTAAATCTACAAGTAAAGCTAATATTTTCGTTTAAATAAGGAAAAGCTTTTATTTTACTAAATAACATGATAAACAATGTAGGTACAAATCGCGTAAGAGTAGATACAGTCTCGCGTTATATTTTAATATTATAAAAATAATTTATGCAAAATAAATTAGTACGCAGCCGAGCTGTGTAAAAAGCGAACTAAAAAGATAATAACAAGTTGACGAAGATACATAGAATATAGTATCATGAAGTCGGAGACAGGTACAAGTTTGCTTGTTACGTGTATACGTATGTGGTAGGTACATGTGTAATGTGTATATTCTCCAAATAAGCAAATTACGGCAGATTATTATTATATACATACATGTATATTATATTGTATACTAGCATTGCCCGCGGCTCCACCCTCGTTCAGATGACCAAAAACCAAATTCTTAAGTTTCACGTATTAGTATACTCTTACGTTGCAGTTTTTGTATTTTTTCTCAGAAATGAGATATTTTCCCGCAGTAAAAAGTATCGTACATAATATATACCCGGATAACTAGCTACCATCATACCAAATTTCATCAAAATCCCTCCAGTGGGTTTTCCGTGATGCGGTAATAGACAGACAGACAGACAAAAATTCTAAAAACTATAGATTCGGCCTCTGTATCGATAATAATGTCTATTTCAATAAGATTTTCCAAGAAATATTTAATGTACAGATTAGACTTATTTAGAATTTGATTATATGTATAGATGTTATTTATTCAAAAAAATATTGTTCGAATTAAGTTCACTTTAGTTTGATCTGTTAGACGCATTTTCACGTTTTGAAGTGGCAAGCGACAAAGCTTAATTAATTGGATTGTGCGCCTGAGTGCTCGTCGCTAATTCGCAAATTAGCCGCCGACAAAGTGGGCCTTCATTCGCGTCATACGGTTTCCTCTCTATTTCATCTAATTCCAATCGTATCGTGATAATTTCAATCACGCTTCAAATTTCAGCAAATTGCCGAATTAATTATTATAGTTTGTTATTAGTTGAATATTGATAAATGTAAATTTACATGACAGGACATAGGATTCTTTACGTAGTTCTGTAGAGTATGAAGTCGTTATTAAATAAAACTATCTTTTCGTATTATTTCGCGGATTTATTTTGATTTTTGGTTCCCGACGTTTCGAATGCTTTACAGCATCCATGGTCACGGGAGAGACTGAGGTGTTACATGTCTTGAATGTATAGTTGTTACAAATCTAAGAAAGTACCTATTATAAGAGTATGAAGTCGATTAATTATAATAGGCTATTACAAAGTTAATTCATTTCTTAATCTACAGAAACTAACATTTTCTAATCCTATTTGTTAAAACTTGTACTAAGTATATAACCTTCTATGGGTTAAATATCTATCACTTGCCTCGCATGTGGGAAAAATGGCGCTGAATTACAGATATTTTGCCATTATTATCACTCTGTTTCATAAGATCAATACTTTGCTTTTTAATGCCTTGCCTTTTTAACTACCAATCACAATAATTCTTATTAGTTATAACTTATAGATGTACCGTACCTTAAACCGTATCGCAACTTAAGTATTACAAACTTTTAAGCACTTTATTATAATACTAGCATTGCCCGCAGCTCCGCTCGCGTTCAGATTACCAAAAATCAAATTCTTAGGTTTCACACATTAGTATACTCTTACAATGCAGTTTTTGTATTTTTTCTCAGAAATGAGAATATTTTCCCGCGGTAAAAAGTATCCTATATGTTTACCCGGATAAACAGTTATCACCATACCAAATTTCATCAAAATTCCTCAGGTGGTTTTTCCGTGATGCGGTAACAGACAGACAGACAAAAATTCTAATAACTATATATTCGGATTCTGTATCGATAATAATGACTATTTCAATAAGATTTTCCAAAAAATATGTAATGTACAGATTCGACCCAGTTAGAATTTTATTATATGTATAGATTTATATAAATATTAGGTATATTATATATAATATTGTTATACCTACCGTATACTAAAATTAACTTATTTAGATATGTAAAACATATCTTTCTCATCATAATACATATGTGAGAAAATAATTAATAGATATACTCTTACGTTAAAATAACACTAATTATTAAACCACAAAATATTAACAAAAACTATTTGCGTTTCACACAAACATCCATTATCTACACTAAAAACCATTACAGCATAATTAGAATTTGCTTTTGTCTATCAAAATATTTTAATTGGTTTTAGCGTTGGAAAATATTGTAGTATATTATTACGGGCTTGAAGGTGTGTATTTGCCTAATGGATGAAGATAAAAGCTGGTGCTATCGGGCGATCGCGGCGTAATTAGAGGGCGAAGCCGCCTGCCTCTTCCTTAACATGCCACTTAAAGCTACACCACATGTCTTATTATGTAAAGAATTGCGCCAACCAATGGCGGTATGTTTGCACGAACGTGATGAATTACTTTATATATATAGGTAGATCGTGTAGTTTTTGACTTATAACGTAAAAATTCTTTTTAATAATCTTTTCAATAAATGAGTTATATACTCGTAAATAGAATATTATTTATGTTTTTTTTTAAATGCTGAAAAATTGAAACCTTAGTCGTATAATGTGTTTTCTGAAACAAAAAGTTAGTGTGGGAAAATAAAAAAAGATTTTTCTTAAACTATTATACTTAGTTTGTTATATTGGTCTATATTTAATATAGATTAAGATAAGATTATATTTACGATAAAAATCGCAAAGGCCTGGAACATTTTATTTGAAAATTAAATAGTGATATGTAAAACTGCAGGGCTGCCGTAAGTGCGGTGCTTTTAGTAAAATTGCCCTATAAATATTCTGAAAGTAAAAAAAAAATAATAACATGCTATCGCGCGACGCTAATTGCAAATTACCAATGCATTAATGTGCTGACTAAAGACAGCGTACACTTCATTCAGTCTAAGTGTTTATGAGGCGCTGCCGTCCTTATTTTACTATATTCTTTGTAAGTTGTACGATGTTGTATGTAAGAACCCTTATTATATTTTTTTTTCTTTGAAAAGATAACGTAAGAACTACTTACTAATAATATACGTCTTAGATTATTACGAAGAGACATAATTTGTTAGTACCTAATACCTATATACAAGCATAATGTCTACGGTGTCACTGTATTATATATATATATATATATATATATATATATATATATATATATATATATACTTTTTAAAATTACTGAATCGGTTCTTGAGAAGATTTGATTTTAACTTAAAGCTTTTAATCGCGGTGTAGATCGCGCCTGTAGATATTATACAGTGACACCGTAGACATTATGCTTGTTGCACGGCAAATGCATAACTATTGGCCGCGGTTTGTTCTACTCAGACTCGGCCAGAATAAGTATTATTTGGTTTAAAATTACAACGTAAGTTGTAATTTTTTTGCTTGCAATGTAAAAATATAATGTCTGAGTTCTACTTAGTACTCATGTCCATAAGAACAATAAGAAATTACTTATAGATATCTAGATCACACTGTAAC